GTGTCAGCTAGTACTTTTCACCTTGCTGAAGATACTCAACTCCTCTCAAACCATGCCTTTGGTGATTCTACGGGTCCCTCTTCTTCTCGAGGTAAAAGACCTTTGTCTGGATCTCTTGGCTAATTTGGAAATCGCCCATTCCTCTGAGCTACCAACCTATGACAGGCTTGACAACTCTTCGGTCTTAGTAGAGGAGCATACCATTCATATTAATCTAGCCAAGTCTAAAGCCCCTATCAGAGATCCAGATGATAATGACACGGTAAGTTCTTCCCTTTTATTTGGTTTTCCTTTTTACTACGGCCAGAGGTGGCTGGCCCTTATTAGCCCCACCTTGATCAATGTTAATCCTAAGTTGGAATTGTCGTGGGGCCAGGCACCCCAAGGCAATTCAAGAACTAAGGGATTTGGTCCACCGGTTTGACCCAAATTTACTTTTCCTTTGCGAGAAAAAAAATCCCTGATAACAGTATGCTTAATATCTCGAATTTGCTAAAATATCCTAATTTTCATTTTATCGCCCCTGAAGGACAAGCAGGAGGACTAGCCGTTCTCTGGAAATCCGGTTTTTGTGTTTCTGTTATCAAATCTATAGACAGGTATGTCTTCTTTCTAGTTAATTCCAATAAAGGTTCTTGGCTTCTTGGCTTCCATTATGGACCTCTAGTAAAACATCATAGAAACTCTTTCTGGAGGGACTTAAACTCCTGGATTTGTTCTTTTTCTTTGCCTTTGCTTTTAATTGGTGATTTTAATGAGGGTGCTTCTTGAAACTTTAAAGATCCTTCTCCTAGTAGGATTCCTTCTGTGATTTCCACTGAATATAGGAATTTCATTTGTGACTATAATTTACTGGAATTAAATATTTAGGGGGGTCTTTCATGGTCCAATAAAAGAACCAATGGTTTCATCACTCGTACCCTGGATAGAGCTGTCATGTCCCTAGACTTAATTGAACTTTACCCGAATGCTTCCTTATCTCTAGGAAAAAGATGGGGCTCTGACCACCACCCTCTAATTTTAAATTTAGACCCACCTTGTCAGATCTATCCTAAACCTTTTCGTTTCTTTGAAATGTGGTTATCAGACTCCTCCTACCATCTCCTTATCTCTGATTCTTGGAAGTCCAGTTTCCCAGGTTATGCAGCCTATAAGCTTTCTAAAAATTTAGAAGCTCTGAAATTAAATCTTATTCAGTGGAGGAACAAAGTTTTTGTTCAACCCACGACAAAGTTAAAGCTTCTTGAAGAGAAAATTATTAAGGCTGAATAGCAAAACTCCCTCCAAAATCTGGATCAGCTTTATGCTGATTATGAAACTACCTCCAAACAACTAGAAAGCTTGTGGAGAAAAAATTCAAGATAGACTTGGCTCCAACTAGGAGATACGAATACTAATTTCTTTCATAAGAGTACCCTCCTTCGAAGGAAGAGAAACTTCATTGAGGGAATAAAAAATGATCATAACATCTGGTAGACCTCTCATGAAGACATCTCCTCAACTTTCCTTGAGTACTTCAAGTCTTTGTACTCCTCTCAGAACTCCTCTAACTTAGGTTGGTTGTCTGAAGTGTTCTCCCCTGTTATTTTTGAGCAAGACAATCAAATGCTCCTCTCTCCTCCTTCGCCTGAGGAAATTAAAGCAGTTCTATTTTCTATAGGGAGCCTTAAATCCCTGGGACCAGATGGTATGCCTGCTCTGGTTTTCAAACATTTCTGGGTTCTGATGGGCCCTAATTTAATCTCAATTGTTCAAGAATTCTTTCTAAATAAAAAACTCCTCAAGAGATTAAATCATACTTTTATCTGCCTCATCCCGAAAAGGTGGATTGCAATCAAGTTCAGGACTACAGACCTATTAGCCTTTGTAACGTAATCTATAAAGTAATAGCATAGGTCTTAACCCATCGTCCCCATATAGTTTTAGACAAATGTATAGGTCCCAATCAAGCAACTTTTGTGCCAAGAAGACAAATGTCTAATAATTCCATTATAACGCAAGAAATGTTTCATTTTCTAAAGCACAAAAAGAAAGGGACTCACTATCTAGCTATTAAACTAGATATGTCCAAAGCCTATGATAGACTGGATTGGAACTTTCTCCTTAGAATTATGTATCTCCTAGGTTTCTCGGACTCCTTTTGTGCTATAATAAAAGAGTGCATCTCCTCTATTTCTTACTCTCTTCTTATAAATGGGACTTCAGAGGGTCACTTTTGCCCTTCCTGAGGCCTTCGCCAAGGCAATCCTCTCTCTCCCTACTTGTTCATCATTGACATGAAAGCTCTTTCAAGACTTCTTCATAAAGCTGAACAAGAGGGTAGAATCCAAGGCATCCCTATCTCTGCCTCTGCTCCTAAGATCTCGCACTTCATTTTTGCTTATAATGTAATGCTCTTCCTTAGAGCACACAGGAAGGAACTTGATAATTTAGGCCAAATCCTCAATTCTTTCCAAGAAGTCTCTAATCAAGTCATTAATTTGGATAAACCTGGTATTTTCTGTAGCAAAAATACACATCCTAGACTCTAGCATATGATCAGTAGGCAACTAAAATTTAAATCCTTGAGCAAACACTCCATATATCTTGGCCTCCCTCTCTTCTAGGATAAAAACAAGCATAACAACTTGAATTACATCCTAGAGAACTTATGGGTCAAGTTAAGCAAATGGAAATCCTCAGCTATCAATCAAGCAGGAAATGCTGTCCTCATCCAATCTGTACTCCAATCTGTGCCTCTACATGCAATGTCTTTGATCAATTTCCCCCAAAAAACCATTGATAGCATTGAGAAAACTATCCGTAACTTTTGGTGGGGAGTCTCAGACAAAAACAAACACCTTTTAACATGGTGCTCTTGGAATACTCTTACCCTTCCTAAATCTCATGGAGGCTTAGGGTTCAAAAGGCTCAAGTTAATGAACCAAAGTTTTCTGAAAAAAGTTGTCTGGCACTTCTTGAATGAGCAGGATAGGTTATGGGCTAGGTGTTGGAAAGCAAAATACCTCAAAAACAATAATATCTTTCCTTATTCCATCCCTTCTACAAGTTCCTTTTTTTGGAAACCCATTGGACCACAGTTAAAAGATCTAGCCTCAAAATGTGGTGGCTTGGTCAATGAAGATTCCTCTTTTCCCCTATCTCAAAGCGCTTGGATCCATTCAGAAGGCCAATTTGGTTGGATCTCCCGACCTTTGCCCCAGCACCTCAATCAGACCTCAATCACAGCTTTTATTCAAGAAGGTCACTGGAACTTAGAATCCCTTCAGAACTCTTTTCCCTCTCTAGAAGTTGATAGAATGCTATGAACCCCAGTGTATCCTGCTATTAATAACATTTCCTGGATCTGGATTCATCACACTTCTGGTAAATTCTCCATCAAATTTCATTATAAAAAAAGATTTGCAAAATGCTTTGCCAACTCTCAACTCTGATTTGAAATTTTGTTTAAAGCACATTTGGAAGTTGCCTTTTCCTCCTAGATACCAATTATTTATCTGGCGTCTCTTAAACAAGTTCATTCCTGTTAGAACTCAATTACATCTGGACATCGATCAGAGTTTGTGTGGCCTTTGTAAAAATCAGGATGAAACCTTAATTGTCTGTTTGCCCAAGCTGTTCTTTTCTCAAATCCTTGGAATCTGCATCTGCACACTATGCTTCAGGATGATATCACTTCTAATTTTAAAATCTTGCATAATCTTGTCAATGATCATAATCTTTTCTTGCAAATTCTCGGCTGGTTAGCTATCGCTTGGTATTCTATCTAGTAGGCTAGGAATGATCTGGTTTTTAATAATATAGTTACTAACCCAGAGAAAGTGGCTAAGCTAGTGAATACTCTTTATCATCTCTCTAATCATCCTAGCCCTACTTCCCTGTCCAATCCTCAAGGTCATAATGTTTTAACCATAAGCTTGACTCAGCAAACTGATTATCTCATTTTCACTGATGCAGGAAGAATATCTCATTCTCTATATACTTTTGGAGTTGTTATTGTCTCAAGAAACTTATCTGTATTAAAAATTTTAGGAGGTCATACTTCTGAAGTCAATTCAGTTCTTCAGGCTGAACTATTTACTGTATTGTAGGCAATTTAAGAACTTCAGAGTTGGTCTTTTAATGAAGTTTGCATATATGCTGATTCCCGGTGCCTGATAAGCGCCTTCAAGGATCACAAGGACTACCCTTGGACTTGTCACTGGCTGTTTTTGAATACTTTTTTGCTATTAGGAAACTTGAATTATGTATATAAGTAGGAATGCTAACTTAACAGCCCATGCGGTATCCTAAGCTGCCAAAACTCACCCTTCTCCCTTTTTTGTCTATAACAATTACTTTAATGGGATACCCAGGGTTGAAGATTGTATATCTATCTCTTTTTGTTATTATATCTTAGTTTTACCTGTCAAAAAAAAAAAATCTAGTTCATGATTTGATGGTTGGTATTACCTAACAATCGCTTTGATGGCTGAGCATGACCAACTTGGGTTGAAAATAAGTTCCTGAAAATTAATAGTCAAATAGATTTGTGAAAAGGTTAACCAAAAAACTTCAAAAAGAAATAAATGCATATCATATATACACTTTCTTTGAAGAGAATAAACTAAATTGAATATCATTCAAAATAGTGAAAAGATATATGTAAATAGTTGATAAAAAAGTATAATAATATGTCATTATTTCAAATTTTCAAAAACAGATAGGACCAAAAACTCAGGAAAGTTTAATACTAATCACTGTTTTCAAATTCGGACCGGATCGGATGGTCGTATCGGAAAAACCGGGAATCAGTTAAGTGACCGGTTTTGGTTTTCCCCAAAACCAGAAATTTGTCCAAAACCATTGATTTTGGTCAACAAACTGCTGATTTGGGCGATTAACCGTTTGAACAATTTTGATCAATTTTTACTTTTTTTATTTTTTTATCAGAATGGGCTGACTATTCGGTTCAAACAGTCGGACCATTCGACCCAATAACCAGAACCCTGACCGGTTCGGCCTCTGGGTCGTTTTTAAAAACCATGATACTAATTAAACATTAATGTTGTAAGACTTATGAGACTTGGACCAGCCCATGAGATACCACTGAACCAGTGACCGAGTGACCTATCTGGGTCCCAGTTAAATGACGGTTGTCAAGCGTTGAACGGGCTAAACGTTCAGCTAAAATGCACAGAGGGTGTTGTTGAAGCTGGACTGACTATCTAACAATGACATGTAGGTTATTGAAGAGACCATTTCATATCAGTCGTTTGAAACCATTTTCAGGTGAAGGAATCATCTAGTTATGAAAAGGGTATCTGGCTGAGTAATCTGTTCATGATTTATAATGGCCAAGAGATTTATTATATTTTCCATGGTTGCATGCTTGCCACATCCATCTCCACCCGCCTCTCTCTATTCATGGAGAAAATCATTCCTACCTAAATCAGTCAGTGATCTAGATAAATCTTTCACTATAGCAATTAATTCTTCAAATGAAAATTTGCATCTACTGTTTATTGTTGACTGTTTCACAACCTTGGGAAAGCTTCAATTCAAGATGATATATGGCACACGTCATAGATTGAGGGAGTTAACAATTGGCCAATGTGCAAGGCTCCTATCTGAGATGGTCTAGATTAACTGCATCATAGCTCCACAAGGCAGAAGTAGGTGGTGCCATCTTAATAAGTGAAGCTTAATTAATTGAACTTACTTACGCTTTACTACTACTACTTAGGGAAGGGGATGGGGGGAGCGGCTGGGTTAGGTTTAGATTGGCGAAGGCCACAACCCTAATCCAACCTGTTATATAGGTTCGTACTTTTCAACCCTAATCCTAATCCAGACTTCATTTCAATTCAAACCAAGGCAACATTTTTGGGTTAGGCTTGCATTAAATCAACCTAAGTTGCATCCTTATTTCTATTCATATATTCTTTCAGAAATATACTAATCTCTGAAGTCGACGACCCATAATAAGGTTTGACAATTTTGGTTGTCCATTCTCCCTACCTACCTCTGAATGTGCCACCCATGAAGGTAGCTATAGCAAATTCAAATCTATAAATATGGCTGCATATAGCATTTCCTTAACATCATACCACTATCACAATACCCAAAAAGAGAGAAATGGGGCATGCAACTTTGACGGCATTAGTTGAGGAAAAGACACTTCCTCCAAGCTTTATCCGCTGTGAAGACGAGCGTCCTAAGGTGGCTCACAACCAATTCAGCAATGAAATCCCAGTTATTTCTCTTGCTGGAATTGATGAATCACAGGGTCGGAGAATGGAGATATGCCAGAAAATCGTAGAAGCATGTGAGCAGTGGGGGATATTCCAAATCATCGACCATGGCGTGGATGGAAATCTCATCTCTGAGATGGCTCGACTGGGTAGAGAGTTCTTTGCTTTGCCTGAAGAGGAGAAGCTCCGGTATGATATGACTGGTGGCAAGAAGGGTGGATTCCTTGTCTCTAGTCATATTCAGGTATGCATATGATGTTTTTCATGAGAATGAGAATGACTGTTCAGCATACTTTAAAAATTCTTAGCTCCATCGTACAGTTGGTGTAGGTATGACTGTTCAGAAGTGATGTTAATATACCGGCGGGTATTAGTATTTTAAGATAGAGATATTTGTCATTTTGAATTGTGTAGGATTCAGAATTTGTCTTGCTATTTCTCGCATATAAAGGAGCTGTGGTCATGATACTGATGAGCTACTGGCTACTTTGTACGAATTTGTGCTTATGTGAAAGATGATTTACAGGGAGGAGCAGTCCAGGACTGGCGTGAGTTTGTGACCTACTTCTCGTACCCACTTCGCAGCCGGGACTACTCGCGGTGGCCGGACAAACCAGAGGGATGGGTGGCGGCGACTGAGACCTACAGTGAGAAGATGATGGACCTAGCGTGCAGGCTGCTGGAGGTGCTATCAGAGGCAATGGGCCTTGGCAAAGACGAGCTTAGTAAGGCTTGCGTTGAGATGGAACAAAAGATTATTGTCAACTTCTATCCTAAGTGCCCACAGCCTGACCTCACACTCGGCGTCCAAAGACACACTGATCCCGGCACGATCACCATTCTGCTTCAAGACCAAGTCGGAGGGCTCCAGGCTACTAGGGATGGTGGCAAGACATGGATCACTGTTCAGCCCATCGAGGGTGCATTCGTCGTTAACCTTGGCGACCACGGTCATGTGAGTAAAAACCTATCAATATGAAATAGTAGAATATTATTTACTAATTAAGTGATGATCAGATGAAATTAAGTGGGCTGCAAACAGATAGGATCAGAATCCATTCAGATAATTAAGAATCTAAGAGATTCAAATTCAATCTGTTATCTAATGGATATGTAAAAGATAGATTTAAATTCGATTGGTTTATATATCTGGTTGTCTGATTTCGATCTAATTCATTAAGTCCACAAAAAAAATTATCATAAATTACAAATAAAATTAAATAAAAAAGTTAATTTATCTAAACCCCAATTCCAACTTAATTTTGAAGAATTTTAGTACTAAAAAAATGATATTTACATATGCATACATATATCGGATCAGATCAAATAATACCGAATTCCATAAATGAGTGGATCATATTTTTAAATCCGATCCGATTCGGTCCAATTATGGTTAAGTAGATATCCAAAGTAAGGGTGCCAATGGACCGGTTTTAGATTGGACCTCATCCAAACCAAAATCAATTTAGATAGATTGGATGGACCAACAAGACATATTGAATTAGACCAGCCAGACTTAATGGTCCAAAGTATTTATTGGATTGGACTGGACCTGGTCCATCCATAATGAATTTATATTGGATTGGGTTGGATTGAGTCAATATCTAGTCCATTGATAAGAAGATAAGAGCATAGGTGTCAATGGACCAGGTTTAGGTTAGAACCAATCTAAATCAAAATTAATTTGAACAGATTGGGCAGTCCAGACATTGAATTGGACCGTTTCAAAATGGTCCAAAATATTTATTGAATTAGATTGGACCAAATCCAGTCCAATTGAAACCCCTAATCTGAAGCCAACTTAAATGGATCTGACTCAAAAGGCTAGGGCCAGCCCAAAATTGAGAAACTAAGCCTACCCAATCCAATACTTAACATTCCCATTAATTTGTATTGCTTTCCCATAAATAGAGACTAATACACAGTTGATGTGGCTGCTCATAGTATCTAAGCAATGGGCGATTCAAGAAGGCAGATCACCAGGCAGTAGTGAACTCCAGCTGCAGTCGTCTCTCAATCGCAACCTTCCTGTACCCAGCACCTGAGGCAATTGTGTATCCACTCCAGATTAGAGAAGGAGAGACGCCAGTGCTGGATGAGTCAATCACATTCACTGAGATGTACCGAAGGAAGTTTTGTGGAGAACTGGAGCGTGATAGGCTCAAGAAGCTCCCCAAGGACAAGCAGCTGGAAGAGATGGAGAAAACCAAACGCCTGGAAGAAATTCTTGCTTGATTACTCTGCAACCCAGCTGAAAACCTTCTTGCTTAATTTGTCAGCTTGTTAATGGTTAATTATATGATTGTTCTACTTTCTGTGTTTCTGTCTTTTTTATTGGTTTGAATTTCTCTGTTTCTCTCTTGTTATACTGTCCCACTAATATGTATTGTGCATTTGAAGTTTTCTTACTAATAGAGATTATCTTATGATGAGTACACCCATTATTTCTATCACACATTTTATCAGATATATGATATTTTATTTCTCCAATCACAATCCAACGCCAAACCTTAGGGTCCATTTGGTCTAGAGTTGAAATAAAAAACGGAATCAGAATTAGAACCAAAATCCTTCGAAATTAAAATCAGAATGGTTTATTCAGGCCCATAGTCTGTTTGATTGAAACAGGAATGAGAATTTTATTCTCAAGGGAAAAGAAGGGAATGACCATTCCCTCAAATAGAAGAATGTCATTCCACCAGGAATAGAAATAGAATTTTAATTCCGTCCAACTAAATAATTAGAATCGAAATAGCCCATTCTAATTCTTATTCCCACAACCAAACGGAGACTTAAAAGTTAAAACAAATATATTCTAATTAGTCAGGTTGGGCCAAATCGCTTGAAATATGGGATAGGAACTCAAATGGACCGGTTGATGATAATAGAGGCTTAAGTGGGTGTTTGGTTACGTGGCGTTTCGCAAGCGGTTTCTTGCTAATAGTTTGTTGACTTTTCTCAATCAAACTATTTACGAAATTCTTTTATCAATTTATAAGATTTATTTCTAAGTAAAGTCAATACTCAAAGTTCTTATCAAATAAATTTGTCTGAGAAGCATATGATACATAGCTAGGTTACATGTGGTATTCGTTCACAATGTGAAGATAATAAAAGGAATAAAATTAGCGTAATGATTCGTTTATTTAATACTGTAAAATTACTGAAATGACCTAAATTACTAATTAAGGCGGTTTGATGGCTTATGGTTATGTTGGCCAATTGCATTTCTTCGTAGCACTGAAGTGGTTTGGTGACTTGTCTTGATCAAACTATTTAATTTTTTGACGATTTATAACATTTATTTAAAAAATAATGGCAAAATCTTTTAACTTTATTTATAAAATACCCCAAAATTCTTATGAAATTTGCTTGAAAACCATACAATAAATAATTAGTTCAATCGCCCGAGTCAATGGGTCATTAACCGATTCAATGGTTTTTAGTTAAGGACCAGGATTAGGATAAACCAAAATCGGTTTCCTAGACGGTTCCCAATTAAAAAAAATAAAAAAAACCATTGAAGATGTCAACGGGTCGATAGTTTGATCTCCTAGATCAATGGGTCGTTGGACAATTCAACAGTTTTTGGCTAGGGACCGAGATTTGTGTAAAACGGAACCGGTTGCTTGGACAGTTCCTGGACCAAAATGTCCATCCGTTCGGGTCAATAGCAGTTCGAAAACCATGATTTTTTATGCTTTTGGATTTTCACTATTCAAAGATTTATTCTACTATTGGCTTTATTCGAGCGTGTACGATCTAGGGTTTACCACCATTTTATTTCTTCTCTTTTGTTTTTTCTTTGGTTTTTCTTGTGTAGTGTATTTTTTTTTTAATTTTCTTTCAAGATGATGTTCTTTGTCTCTTTCTTTGATTGCATGTATGTTTAGCTCCGTCTCAAAGCAAAGCTTTGGACTCAATTCTCTGATTTTTTTTCCTTGATTTTTTCAGTTTGGTGGATTTATCGCCATTTTTTTCTGTGTTTAAGGTCACTTTGGATTTATCTTTCAAGGTTTTAGAATCCCTTCCAATGTCCACCCTTCCCATGACTATGACTACAATGTTATTTCGTCTAATTATTGACATCTAGAAAAAATGACCAAAAAATGGAACCGTTTTGGCCACCAGTTTTCAGGTCGACTTCGACCGTCTGGTTCGAACAGATGGCCCATTATGACAACAAAAATTAAAAATAAAAAATAAAAATGGACAAAAACCGTTGGAACGGGTCAACGGATCGATGGATTGACCATTCGGGTAAACGAATCATTGATAGATTCAATGTTTTTTGGCCAAGGACTGGGTTTGGAGTAAAACAGAACCGGTTGCCTAGATGGTTCTCGGGCCGAACGGTCCTACTATCTGGGTCAATTGGGAGTTCTTCATGTGAAACAAAGGACAATTATGAATTAGAACTTAAAACTATCATTGTATGATAACATTCTTTTATATAAGATGCTTTGTTGAAGAAATATTTAAAAAACGAGCACATGATGATCTTTATATGAGTTTCAAGACTTGAGTACTTATAATTGCAAATTTCTTATTAAGAAACCACTATCTTTTTTAATGTAGCAAATAAAAATGTTGCAATTCCATTCCAGCCCCTGCGAAACAAGGACCCCTCTACTAGTAATTATTATTGTAATAATAACTAGCGTTTAACTAATTATTTTGAAGTACGGTTAAGTTGCTATGTTTGAGTCGAAGTTGAAGCTTTTGAAAACACATAGATGGTGAAAGCTAAGATTAGTCTTGATATCACGACTTGACTCATAAGTTGTGATTCATTCAACGATGCCTTTTAAGATTGTTAGTTGGGGTGGGAAACGTGAATGGCTGAATGTGAGTTAATTACATAGAATTCAAAAATCAAAAATTAAAAATTTATAAGATTAACAAAAGAGATTTTGGAGCAAAATTTTAAGAGGAAGATGCCATGTGGACTCAGTCCCCATATAGTAGTAGACTAGTGGGGACCCGTGCGATGCATGAGAAAATATAAAAGATTGAATAATTTTATTTATTATTAATTAATTGATAAATTAATGACCAAAATTTATTGTTAATTAACTAAAAATATTCAAATTTATTTTTAACATTTAAATTTTTAATAATTGTATTTTCATTTAATGTTGATTTATAGAAAATAATTATTGCTAATTTAATATGAACAAGTATTTTTAACAAATTTAATTTTATTAATCATTGGTAGTAATTTTAATAAATGTTGTTATTTTCATTATTTTTAAATGAAGTTTTGATTGACTATTAATAAATAAAAATAATCACAAAAACTAACATTTTTATTAATTTCACTAATAATTAACAATTATACAGGAATGATGACGGGGCGAGGCACCCCATCCCTACTCCCACCTCGTACCTAGTGTTAGGCGGGTTTAGGGCAAGGCACCCACTCTCCGTTAGGGATAGAGAATCCTCAAATTTGTCCACCTCATTCTCATTGTCATTTGAGTTTAAGGCAAGACACCCACTCCTCATCAAGGATGAGGAATCCTTGAATTTTCCCCACCCTATCCCAAGTGTTGTGTGGGTTTCAAGGCAAGGTACCTATTCCTCATTATCGACACAAATTTTGTGTATTTTATTAAGACAAAATATGGAGACAAATTACAAAAATAAATTTTGTAATAAAGAAAAATACAAGGGAATGAACTCTTTTTGATTTCTGCTCAATGACATGAGCAACCTCTAGTTAACAGTTGAATTCAGTGAAGACGAGGGTTGTTGACGTGTTTCTCGTACTTCTTGAGGTGTCGGTGTAGATTTCCTTAAATTTGGTGTTTCTAAATAGTTGATGTAGATTTCTTCACTCCGACCTCATGCTTGATCGGCTGTGAATGATGCTTTTCTAAGAAGGGCCCTTTTTGTAATGGCTTGATCTTCTTTGAAGAGTTTGAATCCAAATATGTTATAGAGAACTAAGGAACGTTTCCCTTTTTTTTTCTATCTTGATCTTGAAGTTTTTGGAGTTTGCAAGTGTGTGTGGTTACTTGTAATCTTCAAGTATTGGTGTGCGCGAACTTCTTGCAATGTGATTGTTGATAAATGAATCTCTTTCTTCTTAAGCAAGGCTATTTATAGCCAAAGATTAGGACTACCACCTCAGCCTACTTTGCTAACCAATCCCATGTAAGTGGAATGTTAGGTTAGAATTAACTTACATACATGCACCATTATTTAGGAGTTAGTGGTATTGCCAATGGGACCACCCTATTACAATAGGACGTGAGTCATATTAGACTTAGTATACTTGGATCCTTAGGCCACTAAGTCATATTTATGTAGACTTGGGCCTTGGGTCCATGGAAGTACATATTAACTTGAGAGGTCTTCTATGTAAATTAAGTCCACTTATTTGGCATAAAAATTTATATGTCTACAAACGCCCACTCGAGGATGAGGTGACAGAGCTTCATATAGTGCCAATATCCTCGATGATGTCAATTTTCATGTTGGATGGTAATTTGATTTTAATATTTGTGGGGATCTTGTTCAACTTGAGGGCTTGAAAAGGTGTCAAAGAATCATAAACTCAACACATGCCAATACCTTTTCTCCACAACGATTATGTGATACTCATAATGACCCGATTTTCAAGGAAAATGTGTCAATTATCAAATTCACATTTAGATTCTTGTTACATGCTTAAAGAGATGATTGTAGGAAATATTCCATTTATCGGCCTTCCAAGCCCATCTATCAATTAAGAATCAACTAGTCTCCGGTTCGTGAAGGAGTCTCATAGGCACATGTAGTTAGACTCCTATGCCCCATTCATTTTTCGGTAAGTCATTCAAGTAAATGCACTTACTTGGGTAAGTGTTTTTCAAGAAAGACTTACTCAGGTAAGTGCATTTACCCATGTTCTTTTATTCCCCATGTAAATAAGACAATGACCATCTTAGCCATAAAAATTTCATTACTAAAGGGGCATTTTTGTCCCATACAAATGTTGACAACTTTCCCCTAGATATGGGAAAATTAGGCATTCATCACTAAAGAATATTGTAGAGAGGTGTTTTGGGATATTAAGACTCAGTTTGGAAGGAGTACAAATACAAATTTGTAGAGTGTAAAACTTTGTATTTTGTATGTATTCACACCACACATATTTGTATTTGTACTCCTTCCAAATTGAGCTTAAAGGAAAATTTTCCTATTTTACAAAATATGTCATCATTCAATTTATGACTAGTGAGGATGGGAAATGGAAGGTGTGACTAGTGAGGATGCAAATAAAACTACTGAGAGTGATTCTGATGAGGAGAATGAACAAGAAAAGATACAAATAATTGGTCATAGAGGCAATATAGCATATATGATGTGGAAGCAACACCAATTAGAACAATTTAATTTTTTTATTTTAATTTGAATTTTAGATAATATGATTATATGGTCAATGTATTAGAGATGTTTTTAACAT